ATANATATAATATAACAACTATATATATATATATATATATATATATATATATATAGGGTATATAGATATAATATAGCTGTATATCTTTTCTAGTTTACAACTGTGCTGTCGAAATCTAGGCAAGGTTCAATGCGTACTTCGACTGTTTTCTGGAACCTTGTGAATCAGAAAATCTTGTTGTGAAGGAATTTCATTTGTATCTCGCCATTGTGCGACGCAACGCAAATATTCACTTTCGACGCGAAAACGTCTGCATATAGAGCATGGAACGAAATTCGAGTATTGCTAGAACGCCTATTTTTTGCCTGTCAACTAACGGAGCCTCTCTGACCCCGCCCACACTATAGCACGCCGGCTCAACAGCCACCAGCGAACAACAACGACCCCTTCGGATTGGGCTTCACATCCGCTCCACCTTCACAGCAGCAGCAGCAGTCGTCGGTTATGGACTCCTTCGACCCGTTTGCACAGCCCACAAGTACCCAGGCCGCTCCGAGTATCATGGGTATGGGTATGAGCATGTTTGGAGGTGCGCAAATGGCGGCTCCCGCCCAGGGCAGTTCCTTTGGTACCCCACAGGCGCAGCTGACGGCTCAGCCTCAGTATTTCGGTATGTGATCATACACAACATGCGCCCTTGCTGTTTGTAGTTCATCATCGTGTTCTTTATAATATTGAGTAGTTTTGTGTAGCTGCACTCAGTGCAAGGACGTGTCCAATATGGACGTGGGAATGCATTGTTGGCTGTTTACGAACGCCAACGGTACTGTTCCAATACACGTGTGCGTGTTTCTCTAAATGTGACGCGTTAGTGTGTATACCGGTCTAAAATGCTTCATATGGGCTGGCTTGGTTGTTATCAAATCTTGGTGCGTGCGTTATCTGATGAGCATTTATCGGAAGACAGGCACACCTCTTCGACCCATCAGCTACATGGGACTATGTATATATATTTATACAAATCGTTCTACAGCATGCACCGTCCGTATGTACCTCACTATTGTACTTTGACTTCAACGTTGTAGTCTGCATGCTTCTATACATCAGACTACTTCCAGAGCGTTCGTAGCTAATTAGGTCGTATCTATTGAGCCCTGTCCTTACATTCGGGTCACTAAACAATCCATGAACTCCAATAAACCAAAAATCCCAATTCCAACCTCAACCCCAACACCAAAGTTCTAAACCCAAAAACGAATCCCAACACCAAAGTCATAAACCCAAAAACGTCAATCCCAACACCAAAATTATAAACCCAAAAACGTCAATTCCAACACCAAAGTCCTAAACCCAAAAACGAATCCCAACACTAAAGTCCTAAACCCAAAAACGTCAATCCCAACACCAAAATTCTAATCCTAAAATCGTCAATCCCAACACCAACGTCCTACCTAAACCCAAAAACGAATCCCAACACCAAAGTCCTAATCCCAAAATCGTCAATCCCAACACCAAAATCGTCAATCCCAACACCAACGTCCTACCTAATCCCAAAAAACCTCAATCCCAACACTCGTTCACCCACAGGAAACGGCGGCATGTCCTTCGGCGGCGGCTCTCGCAACCAGTCACCCACGCCTGGACAACAATCCATGGGCAACACTATGGGTAGTAATATGGGCGGTGGACTGGATCCATTTGGCGGGTCTAGTACAACCAGCCAGCCCCCGAGTGTGGGAGGTGGTGGATTGGGTGTACCGAACTATGGCGGAGTGAGTTTTGGCGGCGGATCGCCCATGCCGACTGGTACAGACCCGAATGACCCCTTCGCATCGCTGGGAGGGGGCGGGGCACAACCAAACGCAATGCAGGTGTGTAGGGCGAGAGGATTAGGATCAGGTCCATGTGTTTGAATATGTGTTTGAGATACAGGTTGGGATTGGATTAGAATGTGATTGTGTTTGTTATTGTGATTTTGATTGTTTTTTATTTGGTAGATAGGCATCGGCAGCGAAATCTCGCGGGGTGTAGGCGTTGCCATGGTGAGGCTTGTTACTGTCCGTTTTTCTGGTAGCCTGTCCGTGTTCTCCGTTGTCTTGCTTCTGCTGTCCGTTTGTTAATACCTACGGAATAGGGATTGTATGAGAGGAAACTGACATGAATTCTTGGTACGTTGTTTTCCTCACAGCAGCAACAGCCACAGCAGTCGGAATCCTATAATCCCTTCGCCTAAGCCCGTGGGCAACAAAAGCCTGTGCTTTTGCGTTCGAACTATTACGATCCGACATATCTAAATAAAGTGTGTTGGCTATGGACCATTGCTGTATGATATGTTCAGGTTGATTCATATACATGATGTGTTTTAGTCAGTATATAGACACGGCGATCAAAGAAGCTTTCTCCTTTCAAATGGATTACCCTCTTCTCGAATTGTGAGGATTTATGATTTTAGAATTGTCAATTCGTGTCAATTCGCAACGAAATAATACAAACATGCGGTACTGCGCTAAACTTCTTGTCGCAATTAAATCTGAGAAATTTGAAAGGCTAATTTTTTGTTCGTGTTCTGGTCGAGCACTTCCGACGTGCTGTGCAACAAGTAATACTGGAGGGCAAACCTGGAGCTCACATATCGAGTTCTAATCTGTTTGAATTAACAGCACACACACATATACGCACAAA